GTCAAACAGTGAAAAAGAGTGAGTATGAGAAAAACTGACCCATTTATTTTAAACCAATGGATCACATACATTTTAAACTGAAGAACATTAAACAATTTAATAAAATAAATTATAATACCCTGAAAAATAAAATGTAATAAAAACAAAATGTATCTTCACTCAAACAAGTGTGTAAACAGATTAAACATCACTCTAATAACAGGAACAAAAAAAAAATAGTAAGAATTAGTCAGTTATTTAAATTGATAGCTACCTTTCTTACTGCTGCATTTTCTGAGCATCATGTGGAGATCAGCCTCTCTCTCCTGCAGGGAGCAGTTTTTATCACTGCCCTCGTCATGTCGCTCATATTCCAAAACAAAAGCTGCGCTCTCCTTTCTTCTGTCAGTTAATCCCAGAGCTAATCTACGGGATGTCAAAACTGTAAGCGTGCTGTCCTCGCTTCTGCCAGCTTAGAACCAGCGACCGGACCAGAGAGGAGGTTCCGAAACAGCGCGGCTGTGTGCGGTCACTGGACCGAGGCTGAACGAACCGAGCCGAACCTCAAAGCTGCTGCCAGGGTGGAGAGTAGTTGTAGCTCCGGTTTAAAACGTTCACGGTTCTGTGTTTCCCCTCGGAAAACTTGTGCATGACAACTTTGCACTTAGCTGCAACTCTGTTTCTGATGAAAATAGAAAGTTCTGCCGACATTCTTGCTAACTTGTTAGYGCAGCATGTTGTTGTGATCACGTGAGCGCTACATGCTGGATCCAAGCTCTGCTGGATAGAAACACTGGAGCGGAGGCAGTGAACTGCTGGATTGGACTGCTAATATCAGAGCGCTTAAATCGGACATTTTTTATGCAGGCCGATAAAATCTGATACTCATTTTTTTTGGCTGATATTGGACTGATATCCGATATCAAAATCAGATCGGGACACCCCTAAAAAGAACAACCTGGTTGCAAATGCATGTTAGAAATAGATGAATATAATTTAATTTTGAACTGGACCTACATTCAGCTCACTGTCTAAGTTCTCTCCTCCCTTCATTGGCTCCTCGTGTGAACTAGAGTCGACTTTAAAATCCTGTTATTAACCTATAAATACCTAAAGGGCCCTGCAGCCCTCCACCTGTCAGAGCTCCTTGGAGGGCTCTGAGATCATCTGATCAGATGCTTCTGGAGGTTCAGGTGTTTTCAGTCATCGGTCCTGAACTCTGTAATAACCTGCTCCTCAACGTTACACAGGTCACTACTGTTCACCAGTTCAAGTCTTTGTTAAAAACCATCTTTTCTCTCTGGTGGTTCATACTGAGTGAACTGATTCAGTTTATGTGTTTATTTTAATGCTTGTCTCGTTCACTAGATGATATTTTTATTTTATTTTTACTTGCTGTTTTTATTGTCATCATTGCTGTGTTACAGTGTTGTGTTTTAATTTTCTATTTGTTGTAAAGCACCTTGATAAGTTTATCTCTTTTAACTGTGCTGTACAAATAAAGATGACTTCATGTTTTAGCCACTTCAGTAGAAAGCAGTACTGAATATCTGAGTATTAGTATCTGAGCTTCTTCATCATCAGTGTTTTTTTTATTTATTTATTTTTACTTCATTTTAACAGATGAAATGTGTAGCAGAGGCAAACAACTTAAAGAGGAACTTACCCCAAAATCAACATTTTTTTGCAGATAAACTGTCTAAACTATGCCCTAAAGGTAATACCTTTCTATTTATGACTAAACGTCAACATTTTGGTCTAAAATTGTTTAAATCTACAATATTGTGTCTAAAAACGTCTTTGTGCTGCTCTCTATGGGTTCAACTATGGCTGCTACGTTTGAATTTCATTATTCGTTCAGAAAGTACCGTATGACGGTGCTGGTACTGTGGAACGTGTCGCAGTACTGTGTGATGTGTCGCAGTACTGTGTGATGTGTCGCAGTACTGTGAGAAGTCACACAGTACTGTGAGAAGTCACACAGTACTGTGAGAAGTCACACAGTACTGTGAGAAGTCACACAGTACTGTGAGAATTAACTCACACATCCTCTTTGTGCTTCAAGAGTTTTGTTTAAGCAAAATACAAAGTTGCTGTGTCATGTAGTTTTGATTGGGCCAAAATACACACACACCCACGCACACACAAACAATGGGCCTCATGTAAGAACCGTTGGTACGCACAGATTTGTTCTTAAGTTGTGCGTACGAGTGATTTAGGA